TCTTTCCCTCTCTGGATTATAAAAAGAGATGAAATAATAGCACCTGCTACTCCTAACTCTAGTGATTGGGATGAGAAATACGTAACAACCTCAGCCAGCTACTTGGAGTGCAAAGAGCTGTTCTGCAGAGATTCAGTTCGTTTTTTAAACAGAAGGTGGTTTAGGGAAGAGAGGAGGGTCTGATGTGCAGAGAGCTAATCCTGTGCCCTGGGATGCATGAGCAATCATCCTGATGGCTGTAAGGATGAAGAAATTCAAAGTGCCTAGAAGTCAAAAAAAGTTAAAGGCTATTGAGTGACAGGTAGTCACTTTCCACACAGAAAGAAAATAAAGCAGTCTCACAGCTGCAGCAGCAAAATAAACCTGAAGGCATGTTGGTTTAAAGGAAATGTTCATTCAAATAATGTACTTCCACTTTGACTGGAAGACTTCTGACTGTTAAAATGACTACTTTGTTACTTACATGTTTGTTTGACATTTTTTCTTTGTTACAAGATGACTAATAAAATTAATGTGTAAAAACCAGGAGAACTTCACAGTAATACTTTTAGTTCATTATATGAATGTGATTACATGACCTAAGGCAAATCCAAAGATACAGTGACAAAAACTGATTCGTTGATTGACTGAAGCTGGGCTAGGAGGTAAAAATGCAAAGTGTTCCATGAAAACTGTCTCTTACTAACACTGCATAACAGTAAGCTACCAGCTTATTTTCCAATTGTTATATTGTATATAAACATATTGAGAAAGTTGTTAGTTTGACAACCTATGTTTTAATATGACTAATGAATGTGGGATTCTGCTCCCCAAATTTTAAAACTGCAAACCTTCCCTGTTCTTCCTACTGGAATATTTTTTTAATGTAAAGATCCATTAAGATATGAACAAAAAAGCCACACCCTCATGGATAGGGTGTTTTCCTTTCTGTGTTTAAATTTATGATTTCTAAGCATACTTCTGCATGTAAATACAGGCTGTTACCACAGTTCACAGACAGGCAGCTGTTAGTGGTCCTAACTACAGCAGGGTGATAAAGCTTCTGCTCACAAGTGGAAAATAGCAACAATTAGTCCTTGCAGCCCCTCCTGTTCCTTTCATTATTCCGTTCTTCTTATTCAGTAAATTCCTTCTCCACTCATGAGCTGTGAGTTAGCACATATTTTGTGTGGTGCAGTCTTAAGTAAAAAGGATACAAAATGCAAATAATAAAAAACTGCTGTCGTTCTGCCTGCTGTTAATATTCAGATGGGGAATAAGAGAAAGAAGATGAGGCAGTGAACAAAAGCCACACATTCAGGTTTGTATTTCCACAGATTTATTTATTGCTGAAAGAGTTAAAAAAAAAATTGAGTGCAACGATTAATACCAGTGAGGAAGACTGCGAGGCACAAAATGAAAGAAGGAGAGCAAGAAGGAAGGCAAGCAGCTGGCAGGCAGACAATGCAATGCAAGATGCATAGATTTTAGGGCCAGCAGAGAGCACTGTGATAGCCCGACCTCCTGGGTAATGGGAGGCCAGAGATTATGAAAAGGTATAAGCACGGGAGAAATAGGAAAAAGAGGGAAGAAATAAAGGCACAGATGCAGATAGAGCTACGTTCATTTTAGGCAGAAGATCAGCACAAAACACTGCACCTTCTTGCCAGGCTAAGCTGACCTATAGCCAGTTAGAGCAGGTGGGAATGAAGGCCAGATTTGGAAAGGTGTTCAAAGGACTGTAAGGTGCAAATACACCTTGGGGGTTTGATGGTGCAAATGCAATTAAGGAGGGGGGGAAGCAAAAGTGATCTCAGAATAATGTTGCTGTGGGAAGTTGGGTAGATTCTTGGAGCATTTGCAGTTGGTGGCTGTTTTGTCATTGTGATACAGAGGCAAAGACTTCTTTTCTCGTTTTCAAACCTTAATGTTAACGGGGGAAAAAACCACCGTTTAAGTGATCAAGGGAATGAACAGCTGCATCTATGAGATTCAGGTGCTTTTTGTGGTCAGGTAACAGTTGGATAGGAAGTGAAAAAGATGATCTGGAATTCGATTGATTTAAGTTTCTGGCCATGTCAGAGCAGCAGCTTAAAACATGACACGGGAAGGAAGTAAAGCATTTCTAAGACAGCAGGATTCAAAGAACTCTTCTAAGTGTTTCATATATATGTTTTTGCATGGGTTGGGTTGAAGGTTTGTTTTGGTTTGTTTGGGGAGGTGGTGGGGTTGTTGCTGCGGTTCCGTCTTCATCCCTGGGAGAAAGTTTTACCATGACACCAGTATTACTACAGCAGAGTAACCCGCAGGTGAGTTGTGGAGCAGCTGCGTTCTTCTGATGTCACTGGTGCTTCTGTGCAAGGCGCAGGGGCCGCGCTTCGCTCGGGCACGGCGCCTGGAGCCGCTTCCAGCGCGCCTGCCGGGGCCGCAGCCCGACAGATGCTCTCCCCGTTTCTTTC